CAATAGTTAACCGTGCCTTTGGTGATCGTGTGTCGCCCCTGGCCGTCACGGTTGAAGTTCATGACTGGACATACTGGCTTGTTGATTGGCAATTCCTGCCAATTGATGCCTAGTCGTGATAATTGGGTGTCAAAGTAACTGAAGCTGCGGCCCTGGAGGAGAGGGTCATCTGAGTGGCCAATACCAGGAACCATGTGAGCAGTGCAGAAAGCAGCCTGTTCCGTCTGAGTGAAGAATTCATCGACGTTGCGGTTGAGCTCAAGTTCACCAATATAACGAACAGGTACAAGATCCTCGGGCCAAACCTTGGTAGCGTCCAAGATATCGAAATCAAAATCGTGCTCCTTCGACTCCGGAATAGTCTGGATACCGAATTTCCACTTCGGATAGGCGCCGTTTTCAATGGCCTCCCACAAGTCCTTTCTGTGGAAGTCCGGGTCTTGTCCAGCCAGTTTGAGGGCCTCGTCCCATACGAGTGAATGTACACCAAGTTCAGGGGTGAAGTGGAACTTGACGAAGTGACGTTCGCCCTTCTTGTTGACGAGTATAAATGTGTTGACTCCAAATCCCTGCATCATTCGGAATGAACGAGGAATGGCTCTGTCAGACATTGCCCACATGTACATGTGTGTGGCTTCTGGATGCAGGTACACGAAATCCCAGAAGTTGTTGTGTGCCGATTGGCCCTGGGGGACCTCGTTGTGAGGCTCACTATCGCACTGAGGTCAGCACCTCGGAGCTCAAACGCGATTTCAATGATACTGAAAGATTCTAAACCTGAATTTAGCTTGGAGTTACTCACGGTTTTACACTATGGACAAAATCCGGGAATTTGATGGCATCCTGAATAACTATTTAACTTATTAGCCGAACGCTCGAATAATATCAATGAACCATCTATGGTGAGATATCAACCAATTAAGCCGACATGAGACTGTATACTCACAGAAAACCGGAATATTATTTCCAACTATGTCCCAGTTTCCTTCTTGTGTCTACCAGCACTCGTGGTCAGTAATTACCATGAAAAGGAAGCCATAGCGCTCTAAAAGCTACTGGAATAAGAGGATAATTATATCGTAAACTTACATAAAACTTGACTGCGAAACCTCTGACATCGCGAACAGTGTCGGCGCTACCCTTCGATCCCTGAACTGTTGAGAATCGAACGAAGACGGGTGTCTCCCTCGAGGTATCTGTTAGAACCGGGGCGAATGTTACGTCCTCTGCACTCTCAAACAGTCTGAAATTGCCGAAGGCGCCGGTACCACGAGCATGAACGACTCGCTCCGGGATTCTCTCGTGATCAAATCTGTGAATCTGACGCATAGTTAGTATATGCTGGACGAGGCGCTAATTGACCGAGGAAACACATACTTTCTCTCGCGCATAGCTGTCTTCGAGTAGCATCGGACCAATCTGGTCATCTCGAGTCACTCTGAGCCACTCATCGGCAGTCGGTTCCTTCACACCAAAGTCGGTGGTGATGCGGTCGTCTTTGGAAACGGTCTGGCTGACCGAATCCAGCTGGGCGATCTTTCGCCCTTTCTCGCCGGAAACCATGTTCTTGACTTTACCGATCGTCGACATCGACAGATCAACAATATGTATTCTTAGTGAGTGGTTACGAGAAACAGGTCAACTAAATTTACAGTAGAAATTCAGGTGCTAATTAGGATTTTATGATTAAAGAAGAGCACAATATTATGGGAAGACATTAGATGATACAGGTAGGCAGATATAGCAACTGTAAGCTGTATTTACTTCGTAACGCCATCGTATCATTGACGTCACCTTTCAATCGTTCGTGAGACTTGCCACAGTAACCCCCCCGGTCTTGTCTATTGCCGATAAATAGTATTTTAGCGGAAATGCGGCAGTTCCGCACGCTGGAATAAGAACTCTACCTTTCAATCAACAAGAACGGGTCAAACGATGTTCTGATGGCTTTACATTTCATCGATGTCTATGACAGAGTACTGATGCAATTGGGGAGCTTTGTCCCCGCTAAAAAGAAGAGGCGGCCTAAAAAGGAAATACGTACCGTAGATAGTCCTTAAGCTCTGGCCAATCAAAACGGCGTCTTTTGAATAGAGCTGCCAGGAAAGCTCCCGGTTGCCTACTAAGTATGCACAACTCACACCGCGAAAGAACCTTGTTGTTAGAGTTTTGTAATAGATCACATGGTTCTCCATATAGACTATCCATATTGACATATGTACTAGGTAAGCTCTTTACGGAAAGTACCGTGCGGACCCCACTACCGCTCCCGATACACGCGCGACGGAGTGGGGTCCGCACCGGCATATAGGTAGTTGTAAGCTTCATTGATGACAAGCGGGGTGTCTAGACCGTCGATTTATGTGTACCTGACGGAATAGGGATTGAGAACTATATGGTATGTAGTGTCATCCCTAGCAATATTCTCGTTTTGCATCATAGCCCGAACTTTATTAATAGCGCCAGTATAATTCCGCTGCAGCTGTATTTGATAGACTCGACGATCTACTTGGCGGACGTAGCTCTTGGGATCCGTCGGGCTCACCGTCACACCTTACATTTTCAATATCGCATGAAAGCCTAAGGTTAAACTAACTTAAATTCTTAAAGAACTAGCATCCTCATCCTTGAGTCCAAATTTTTCACCGCGGAGAACCGAAAGTCGATCGAGTTGCATTGACATGAGCATATACAAGTGCTTACATGACCTTCCCGAAATCGAGCCGCTCCTGTAGGAAAGGCCGAATTTTTAATGTAAGAACATGAAATTGAGGATGGCCGGAATTCAATACAGGGTTTTGCATTGAGCTGAATGAATTAAGATTCCGGATCTAGTTGCATCAGAAGCCGCGGAGATTCAAGAGCGTCCTAACCAACCTCCACTACGCTTACCAATCATGCCCTTTATACGGCCAACCTATGAGTTGAATCACGCCGGCGATATCATTGTGATAGAATTGCTAGAATAGATAGACAGTATAGAGAAAAAATATTTAAAATGGCAATGTTGAAGGGCTATTTCCCATCATGGTGCTTCTCAGCAGAACACATTAGAAACCGAGCCGGCTCGTCTACTTATAATAATTATGTCTTCAGCCACCCCAATTGCTTCGGCTGACGATATCGCCAAACACGGGTGGACTGCCATACCATGCGATGCAAATGTAATTTTCAATAAGAATCCCATAGTTAAACCATCAGCCCTAAAAGCCAGCGATATTCAATTTCCCGCCGATGACCCGGTAGTCGCCAGGGTGCAGCAATACGCGAAGGAGCATTTGACGGAGCAGACGTACAACCACTCTATGCGCGTCTACCACTGGGGTAAATAAGTCCACCAAATCAGATACCTCCCTCAATATGTTGTTATATTCAGGGCTTACACGAGTCACAGGCTTCGTAATCATCAAGGATCAATTCCCAGAGCACGCTAAGAAGCTGTCAATGTCTACATGGGCGTTAACCTGCCTCCTCCATGACATCGGAACCACGCACGACAACCTGCGTGCAACGCTCTTGTCCTTCGAGTTTTACGGCGGCATCCTCGCGCTGAACATGACTAAAGAGCACGGTGCGTCGAACGCACAGGCAGAAGCTGTCGCCGAGGCCATCATCCGACATCAGGATCTAGGAACGGTGGGCACTATAACGTTTCTCGGACAGGTAATCCAGCTCGCCACGATATATGATAATATGGGCGGCAACCCAGGCTTGATCGACGAGGTAACTCGGCTAGATGTCAATAAGGCGTTCCCGCGCAAGGGCTGGAGCGGTTGCTTTTCCAAGACTATCAGGGAAGAGAACGGGTTGAAACCTTGGGCGCACTCGACGCATCTGGGCGAGGAAGATTTTCCGGAAGGTGTTAGGAATAATAGTCTCATGGCGGATGTTGATAATTGGGGGCTATGAAGACTGTATATGTGTCCCCTTGGCGGCTGCTCCAACTCCGCGACTTACAAAGTGGTGAGCGTGACTTCAAAGTTGGAACAATAGGGATATTATATAAGGCATAAACACCTAATAATCCATTATCCGAGCATTATATCAGCGTTATATCGCATTGATCCGTCTGAATTTTGAACGCTTATTCCCCGGCGCTATACAGCGTTGTTGTCTCTCTGTTGGCCGACTTGATATTGAACGTCGAGTCTACGGCGCTATGAAGCGCCGTCATCTCATTATGCAGCGTCGGATCTAAACCGGCTTGTTTCTCGGTAGCGTCGCAAGAGTTCTCTGACGTTGTCAGGCAAGCCCCAAAATCTGAGCGAGCTGACGGTTTGATTACCACCGCCACCTCTTCGCGCACGTCGCGCCTCACATTCAAGTTTTCTTATCCTTTGCGTGCGAGTCTATCGACATAACTGAAATTAATATGTCGTCGTCATCTTCCCTCCCTCTTTCTCTACATACCACGACTTTGCTAACGGGGAAGCTCGTGCTCGTCGATTTGGACCGCTTGTGGGTCGCCGGGAGCATGAGACCCGGGTACGACGGCTTCGGATGTCGCCACTGTTATCCGGAGTACTATGTGCAGTTACTACATAGTATCTAGAACCTTAGTCATATCATAGTCTCCAATACTTAGTCCGCGGGGCTATGTAGACAGACTTCAAACACATAGGCGAGAAAGATACTGATGAATTCTACATACCTAGAAGAACAGGGAAAAGACAAAATTATGTTCGGTGGCCCGACGGAAACACGACTCTAGTATCTGTCCCGTTCTATGTCTAATCGGCGCTGGTGTTGTATGTACAACTACTACGAAAGGTAAGGCTTCATACGAATGGCCGGAATTGTATTGAAATCTAAGCAGAAGGGAAAAAGGAAGCTGTTCTAACAGCCACCTATGGGCAAAAGGGCTTTTGAGCGTGCTGTGGTTGCACCAGTCACGCGCTAGCCACTATATTGTAACTACTACTAGAGAGTCTTTTGACCAATCGTCAATATGGTAAAAACTATGTCCTATGTCCTAAATCAATGGCAAAAAGAGTAAAACATAGTCGTACCGTGGATCGAACACGGAACCTTTTCGGTGCATCATCAGTGTGAACGAAACGTCATAACCATTAGACCATACGACTTAGAACAATTCAGTGAAGTCGAACTCCGGGATAATGACCAGCCCAAGATAAGGAATAGTAGCTTGGTGTGGGGGGCAGGGCAGGGCAGGGGTTAGGACACAGTCAAACCTAGGGTTGAAACAAACTTTTGCACATGCAAAATGGCATTGCCAGCCGTTGGTTGAGGTCACAGGGGGTCAAATAAGCTGGCTAGAGGTATCTTTATTAAAAATAAGTCATTGACTGTTTTTGGCGTATTATAGGTCAATAAAGGAGGGAAGGTTAGGCAAGTTACTGTTTAAACAGGTCCTAAGCGAATACTAAGCCTACCTACCTACTGAGTAGGTAGATTTAGTCAGTGCTGTTGCGAATTAATAAGGCTGGACCTAGTGCGATAGATTTAATCCAATAGTTAATATATGGCAATTCGATGAGCTCTCAACAAATTACTACTAGGTAACATTTTCCTTTTTGCTTCTGTGTACCTAAGTACTTACCTAGAGACTTAATCAATATTCAACGCCTAATCGGCTAAGCCACGGTGTTAGATTGTTGGGTATAAATCGGTTGGTTATATATAAGTTGATATTACTTCCTTAGATTTCCCTCCTCCCTCCTTTGGGTTTTACGACCAGTGGCCAAAGCCACGCGGCTCCAGCCATAGCACAGCCACACTCTCAAAGCTGGTGGTACAAGGTGCCCCGCAACGCGTGAAAGCGTCGGGCTTGTGAAACCGGAAAGTGACATCATAGGTCATTTCCAAGATTTCGAGCTGCAATGACTGTCCATACCTGCGACTTAACGTGTCAGGGACAGAATGCAGTGTTACTTAATCTAGCCTAATATGTATGTGATGGCCCATTACGTATTCAATCATCAAAGATAGCGCTTGACATGAGTTAAAAGTTCGGGCCGTATAAGAGTTGGGTTGGACCCTTCCCTCTCTCTACGGCTCGGCTTGCTCTAGTTTGAAACTGCTTGGCGTCAAGCGAACGGATTGCAATTGCGTGCTGGAATTTGATTAAATTGTACGTCCAAAAGAGTCGCCTTTGAATAATTTGGTCGCAACATTTCTCCTTCGGTCTTCTTCATATTTTATCCTAAAAGTTTCATACCGCGCGCGTCTGCCTATCATGGGGAGCTATATCGCCAAGTGGATTGGGGGGAAACTTATTCAAGACAAGATCCTTAAGGAGAGGCTTGAGAATAAGTTCGGTGTAGATGTAAGTCTTTGACCATGGGAATCGTACCCAACGCCGAGCGCGTTACAGTTACATCAGTGATGGTATATAGAAGTTAGTAAATATAGGACTGACCTGCTGTATAGGACCCCTACTTTGAACAGGTCCCAGCTACAAGGCTTAACGGCACCCCGACCGGCAAATTCAAGAAAGTTCGCAAGGCCGTACCTCCCGGTTTGTCCGCCCATGATGCAGAAGTCCTCAACAAGGTAAAGAGAAGGGCCTACCGGCTAGACATGGCCTTTGGCAGTTTTCTGGGTATCAAGTTTGGATGGGGTAGCTTCATCGGCCTGTTCCCCATGTGAGTAGCCTAGCGAGAACGTGTGACTCCTCGTTTACTAACCTCTTCTTCCATTTTAACAGATTTGGAGATTTCACGGACGCATTCTTAGGACTCCTTGTCGTCCGCACGGCTAAACAGGTCGAAGGTGGTCTGCCCTTCGGGCTCCTCCTCAGCATGTATTTCTGGCTGATCGTAGATTTGATCATTGGGTTGATCCCATTTGTTGGAGACATTGCGGACGCATTGGTCCTGGCCAATACACGCAATGCAGCCGCCCTAGAGGCATATCTTCGCAAAAAGGGGAAAAAGAATCTCCGTGCGAGTGGCCAGCCTATTCCCGCAAGTGACCCCAGCGACCCGGCCGAGTTTGATCGTCTTCATTCCGAGTCTCCAGAGACATCGCGTCCTTTTCGCACAACCAAAGAACGCATCAACACGTCGTCCAACCAACCTGCTCCCCAAACAAGTGGTGTTACATCTACACAAGCTGTCCCATCGCAACCGGCACCAGCGAGGGTCCACGATGACCGGCAAGGCAGACCTAGCCGAGGATTCTTTGGGTTTGGTAGCAAGAAGTCTCGGCCCACAGACCTCGAGACCGGGAATACCCCTGCCAACTAGTTAGAAGCGTGGCGGGGTTAAGTGGGAGTGTTGATCCTTTTTTTCGAGGGGCTGCGTCATAGAAAAAAGTGCTATTGCAATCTTGACTAACAACGGCGTGGCGTACCTCGGGGAGTGGCCTGGCTACTTATGGTCTGTATTGTGTGTAAGGCGCATTGAACGATGTTTAAGACTAGAACCCCAAGTATACCTGTTTACTTCATTCTCACTTGGAGAACTATTAGATTGATTCTGTCCCGGGGGAACGGTTCTCAAATGACCCAAGATACGAGAAACGGATTTAGACTCAATTAATGTATAATTCGCAATCAAATCAAACAAAACAGTATACCATCTCGTATTGACACCATTAACACGGCCTCATTCTACAGGCCATTGCTAACCCTGAATTCAGTGATTGGAACGTGGACAAACGACTCCTTACAATATACAATGGACTATGGAGTAGAGACGATGAAATACTAGGTATGTTCTCTATTATACTTACACACTATAGAGGTATACACAGCCCTGGTTGCGCGTCATGATGGTTTGTTGGTCCATGACGCGCCGACTGGTAATTTCCGGCTAGATTATCTGATCAGATAATTCCTGTAATTCCTATCCCTAATTCCGACGTGCCACTAACTATCTGGGTTAGGTAGTCCTACCAGCCCCTGTTTAAGCCGAAAGACCGAAGATTTGGCGAGTAAAGGGCAAAGGCTGGGTGTCTCAGCTGGCTTCCCCTGTGCAGATGCCCTGTACCCCCTGTGCTCCCTGTGCGAGGCTGGAGCCGTATCCCTGTCAACGCGTGAAAATCAGATGGCGGGGCACTAAAACGCGCTCACAATGGGCTTAATGGGACTCCATAGCGCGTTCATGCTATTGTATGCTGGGTGATTTAGTGCACGTGATTTGGCGGGAACTAATGTTTAAAAGGTTGACTTCCCTACACGCCTTGTTTCTTCATCTACAATCCCCTCAACCACCACTCCCACCAAATCCACTTTACGCGTGCAGCAACACCTATTCTAGTAATCACCTCGGTCTACAACTCCAATTGGCCCTGCATCTTCACTTTCAGTTTAATATCATCTTCATCCCATACAATGGCATCCGAGATTACCCCCTCTAAGAAGGTACAGAATGTTTTGCTCTTTCGCAAAGAATCTAGCTCATTGTTCCGTTGACTAACGCGTATTTTACACAGGCTGCATCTGCTATTGAGTCCTTCAAGATGGAATCTCCTGTCAAGAAGCTAGATTTTGCCGCTTCTGGCAAGGAGAACGCATCCTTTGATGCCGATGTCCACACCCTCGCAAACCAGATCGACTCCAACCAGCCCACAACAGAGAAGGTCAAGGAGGAGTCAAAGGAGGAGCCCAAGACCGCTGTAGCCCCTGGCATCAAGCCTGAAGAGGCTGATGAACCCCTCCTACAAGAAAACCCGCAGCGCTTCGTCTTGTTCCCCATTAAGTACCATGAGGTAAGTGACGCGTCTTTCACGCGTTAAGTGGTTTTGGAACGCGACATAGGGCTAACGACATACTTTCCCAAACAGATCTGGCAAATGTACAAGAAAGCCGAGGCCTCTTTCTGGACTGCCGAAGAGATTGACCTGTCCAAGGACCTGCACGACTGGAACAACAGAATCAATGAGGATGAGAAATACTTCATCTCGCACATCCTGGCCTTCTTTGCTGCCTCTGATGGTATCGTCAACGAAAACCTCGTTGAGCGTTTCAGCGGCGAAGTTCAGATTCCCGAAGCTCGATGCTTCTATGGTTTCCAGATCATGATGGAGAACATCCACTCCGAGACATACTCTCTGCTCATTGACACCTATATCAAGGAGCCTGCTCAGCGCACCCACCTTTTCAATGCCATTGACACCATTCCTGCCATTCGCAAGAAGGCTGACTGGGCTCTAAAGTGGATCTCTGATCGCAGCTCTACTTTCGCTCAACGTCTGATTGCCTTTGCTGCTGTCGAAGGTATTTTCTTCAGTGGTGCCTTTGCCTCTATCTTCTGGCTCAAGAAGCGCGGTCTAATGCCTGGTCTGACCTTCTCCAACGAGCTCATCTCGCGTGACGAGGGTCTCCACACTGACTTTGCTTGCCTCTTGTTCTCCCACTTGAAGAACCGCCCCAGCAAGGAGGTTGTCGAAGCAGTCATCGTCGATGCCGTGAAGATTGAGCAGGAATTCCTAACAGAGGCTCTGCCCTGTGCTCTGCTCGGTATGAATGCCAACCTCATGAAGCAGTACATTGAGTTTGTGGCCGACCGTCTGCTGGTCGCCCTGGGCAACGAGAAGGTCTACCGCTCTACCAACCCCTTCGACTTCATGGAGAATATCTCGCTCGGTGGCAAGACCAACTTCTTCGAGAAGCGCGTCGGTGATTACCAAAAGGCCGGCGTTATGGCCAGCACTAAGAAGAACGTTTCCAACGAAGATGTCGCGCAATCCATCGAGAGCAAGGGCGAGAATGGCGGTGACTTCACCTTTGATGACGACTTCTAGGCGAATTGCTTGTTGTCTGTTTCAATGTGATGTCTATTCCTACCTTCTCATGATACCCCTCTCTTTTTTTCTTTGTTTCACTATTATAAAAATACTTTTCACCTGCCTAGCCATGTATATTAGACCTCGTCCAACGAGGCAGCTTTCTTACCTCTGCTCAGCGTGGCATTATACGATAGACCAAGAGACATGGCGAGCAATTCGGCAGTGTTACCTTCTACAGAAATGAGTTCTTTTCTGTTTGTCATTGGTCGGCGTTGGGCATGGTCAATCCCAGAGGCGGCGTTTTGTGGGGTTTGTAATATTGGCGTTTTCATGGGGACCGATGAAGTCTTGGACTAGAGCCTCCTGGATCTGGTGGGTGGCTGGGACTGTG